GAGTGAGCGCTTCTCATGGCTTCTTCAAATGAGGTGGGATCACCCTCTATTTGAGATTCTTTCCATTCATAGACTTCGTAGTCATCAGGAATGGCTGGTTTTTTGACTCTTTGAGACCTTCTAGGGGCCTCGTTAGTTGACGCTTGTTCTATATGAGGTTGTTGTTGCTCTTCCTCATATGTGACAATATGTTTTACAGGATCTAGAAAGACAGGTTTCTCATGTTCATTCATTGACGTTATAGGAGAACTAACAACATGTGATGTTACTACAATGTCTTGCACTGTTGGTGTAGTAATAATAGGTAGCATGAAGAATGGCTCCTGAACCATTAGAGTAGGCACATGTACCCACTTCTCCTCTAGGTTAATTTCTCGCACTACCATGCTCCCTCTAACCATATCATCCTCCAAGAACACAGCGTGTCTTGTTTCTATAAACTTTATATGTCTATTAGGATAATAGAAGCGATAACCTTTTGACTTTTTTGATAGTCAATGAAATAGCAATTGACTATCTTGGAGTCTAGCTTCTCTATGTTTGGGTTAAAGACTTTAGCCTTAGCTGGACAGCCCTACACACGTAAATAATTAAGTGAGGGTTCCTTTTCTGTCCACAACTCATATGGCGTTTTGGGCACCGACTTGCTTGGCACTCGATTAAGAATATGAATAACGGTTTTTAATGCCTCTATCTATAAACTTATCGGTAGAGTAGAGTAACTTATCATACTTCTCACCATATCCATTAATATACGGTTATGTCTTTTAGCTACTATATTCTGTTGAGGCTCGCCCGGTGTAGAGTATTGGGCAACTATGCCATTTTCTGTAAGAACCTTGTAAAAGGTCCAGGAACTTGGCCATATGAGGTGTGTCGACCGTAGTACTCCCCCCATGGTCGGATCTTACTATCTTAATCTTTAAATTGTGTTGATTTTCTACTTCAGCCTTAAATATCTTAAATTTATCCAATGCTTCTGATCTTTTCTTAATTGGATAAATATACCCATAACGAGAATAATCATCTTTGAATGTTATAAATAAGTCATAACCATCCATACTCTTCATAAGAAAAGGACCACAGATGTCTGTGTGAATTATTTCTAAAATTCATGCGCTTCGTTTGTCATCTTTCTTTATTTTTTTAACATACTTTCCTTTTATACCATCAATGCATTGTTCTAAATCTGAAAATTCTAGTGGTGGAAGAATTGATTTTTTAATCAATCGCTCTATTCTCTCCTTGAAATATGGCCTAAATGATAGTGCCATAATTTTGATGATACATCATGAACTCTCTTCCACTTATTTCTTACATTCATAGACGAGGAGGCATTCTCATTCTCAGTGTTCACAACATTCACATTCTTAGAAAGTGATAACAAATAAAGCTTGTCTTGTCGGAAGGCAAGACCAACACACTTATTATTAAACATAATCTGACATTTGCCATTACCAAAATGACAATCATATCCATCATCGCCTAGACCTAAAACACTTATCAAATTTCTACGTAAAGAGGGTACATAAAGAACATCTGAAAGCTGAAGTACAAAACCACCATCTAATTCTAGAGAGAGATCTCTAATGGCTTCAATTTTAGCTTCAACTCCATTTGCCCTTTAATTCTTCTTTCTCCTCTTTGCAGGGTCCTCCTCGTATGTAATCTCCTGTAATGAATTTGCAACATGAATAGTTACACCTAAGTCAATCCACCGAGTAGATTTTGAATAACTAAAATATAAGGACTCATCTATGAATGTGATAATATCCTCACCTCTCTTCAAAAGGATCTTCAGGAAATCTGGACAGTCCTTCTGGTAATGTCCATGTTTCTTGCACTATTTGCATTGATCCTTATCAACTTGAACATTGTTGTTCTTCTGATAGTGATCATTCTGAGGGGCTTTCCCTTGAGTTTTGGCATGCTTGTCAAAATTCTTCTTTTTATTGTCCTTCACATGGTTAGCAGAGTCACCATGTGAGCTTTTAAGCCTCTCCTCTTCTTGCACACACATTGCAATGAGCTTCTCAATGCCCCATTTGTCGGGCTGCATGTTGTAATTAACAACAAAAGTTTCATACTTTTTAGGCAATGAAGCAAAAACCAAATGAATCGGGAACTCATCCTTGAGCCTTAAATCCATTGGCTTGAGCTTGGAAGCCGTGTTGCTCATCTTCAATATGTGTTCTCTTATCCTCCACCAGAGTATTTTTCATTGAATAACTTCTTTATCAGGATACTGGCATAAGCCTTTGAAGAGTCCAGTAAACTGACTCTCTACTTTCTTAAGGTACTCAATGGTGGTGTCACAATCTAGGATTGACCCTCTTATTGCATCTAAAATAGTAGACTTAGCCACCATCAAGCACTTACGGTTTGAAATATCCCATTTCTTACGATCAAGATCGTATTTTATTCTCACTTCTGCATGATCTTGCTGTCGAGTAGTGAAATCAGCATCCGTTTCATTTTCTTCCCTTACCGGGTTTACTGGCTCAGCAGGACACGAAGAGATAAGCGCTAGGTCATTTTCGGACAACGCAAGTGCTAATTCATACTTCTCTCGCCATACACGATAGTTGCCCCCTTCAAGAGGCGGAATATGCGAGATGAATGCCATAGGGTTGAGTCATGAAAACAACGCCAGAGATAGTGAGAAAATATAATAATAATTGCATGCCGTAATTTAACGTTGGTCAAAATTTAAACATACAATATGCTTCTACATTAATTCCACTTCATCGTTGGGCAGAAATAGAACTAATGCATGAAAAAACTCATGAATAAAAAAATTATAATATTGCTATTATCAACGTTGGTCAGAAAAATAACAATATCATAATTTACTGAATACTATAACTACTCTTTAAAATTAAAATCCTCCCGTTGGTTTGAATTTAATTAGAAGATAATAAACATCAACTTTGTAGTGGAAACATGAAAAATAATATTAAAATGATATTATCATAAGCATTTCATTAGTACTTATCTACTCTCTGGAAAAATTATTCCGTTGGTTCAAATTTTGACAGAGATTTAAAACTTCAAATTTGACTAAAAATTCATCTAAATTGCTTCTAAAAATAATAAAACTAAATACAAGACTATTACTGTGCATTTTGGCCCGAAGGCCTAATTCGCGCAGCGGCCCACGGTCACTCCCGTGCGGCCCAGCGGCTCACTCGTGTTCTGTGTGCCTCCCGCGTCCTAGGCCGCAACCTGGGTCTGGGCCGGGATTTCTCATTCCCGCCTGGGCCGTATCCGACCCAAGATCTGCTGGCCGTTGATCTTAATCCGACGGCTGTTCCGCGTAGTTCGGCAGAACAAAATCCGTGCCGCGGCCGCTCCCCTGAAACCCTAGGTTCATTCTCTCCCTCCCCTTCTCTCTCATCGCCGCAGCCGAGTGAAAATGGAGCGACGCATCAACAGCCTTCGTGGCTGCCGGAGGAGGAGGTGGCGGGCCGCCGTCGAGCGGCCTTGTGGCGACGCCCTTGATTCCCGAGTCCGAGGGTGAGGTTTCATGCGACGTAGGCGGTGGTGACGGTGACAAGTGAGCCCCAGGTAGGCCCCTGTCCCCTCCGTCCTTCTTTCTTTCCGTTTCTTTAGGGTTAGGGTTTCGAGATTTTATCCGATTCGATTCATCTCCTTCTTTCTACTCGATTTCTACCCCAAAATATAGATCTACACGCTAGGGTAGGCGCTCTAATACCATTGATAGAACTTAAGACCAACTAGCAGTAGATCTAGCGGGTATAAACTTGCATTTATGATATAGTAAACCTTAGAACATGAACTAAAACTGAGAGAGATAGATAGAGAGGATGAGAGTGGGGAGACGTTACCGACCATCGACAGGCTTGGCGGAGGAGCTGGCCATGGTGTCGATGTAGAGCAGCAGTGGAGTCCAGCGGCGGTGTCGAAGGCACAGAGGAGGCGTGGTCCAGTGGCGGCGGCGAAAGCGGTGGTTCTTCCCATCGCTCACAGCGCCCCCTCTAGATCGGCTTAGGATTTATAGGTGGGGATTGTGGCGGCGGCAGTGAACCTCGTACCTAGTGTCAGCCCCCACCTTCTTTTTATGACGTCTGCGTGACGGAGGCCCACTAACCATTGATTCGGTTGGACGCCCCGATCAGGGCGTGGGATCAAAGCCCTTGGACCGGGTCGGAGGAGATCAACCTAACATGCGCCGGTGGCCTGTAATTTATGGATCGTCCATAAGGGGATGAATTCGTATCCTAATCAAAGTCTTATCAGCAATAAAAAAAACAAGTTTTTATATTTAAGTACCTGGCTTGTAATAATCCTGTAAAGAAGGCCGTCCGCAGTACTCACGCTCGGACTCGGATTAGCGATTGCTGATCTGAAGCTTTCATAGCGATTTCATCTGAAGCTTTCGTCTTCGAGCAGAAAGAGAAGATGGATCAGCATTCAGTACCAGACAAGTTGAAGAGACCGCGAACAAGAACTGCACCTCCAGTTCTGGGCCTCGGGAAGGCCAGACGATTGCAGGACAGGAGCCCATGCTGCTGTCTGATCCCGTGCCCATCACGGGCTTTAAAGGCCCATTTTAACATGAGACCCATAACCAGCGTAGTCATGCAAGTGCACGCAGCAAAGGAGAGAGAGAGAGAGAGATCGGCCCAATAGCCACGGAGGAATTGCTCTCCTGCGTTTACGTTTGCTGCCTTTTTCTTCCCCTCTCCCGTTCGCCTCGTTTTCTCCGCCTGCCCGAGACCGAGAGCTCGACTCGGTCGTCGCCGCCACTCTACTCCCTGCTGCCAGGTCTTCGTCAGAACATTTGCCAGCGACGAGCACCCACCGCACCACGTATGCCCGCCCCCAGCAAAATTGAGCACCCGAATCCGATTTAAGCTATTCTGTATTCAGATCTGATCTAATCAGTAAGCGTACGCATGTATTATGCCTGCTAACTTCACTTTTTTTGGCCAAAAAAAAATATATCGGGTGTAGAGCAGAGCGAAGCGAGGGATCCAATGGCGGCGACGGAGGGGCAGTGGGTGCTCATGGCAACGGGGCGGACGCCGACCAACATTGCGGTGATCAAGTACTGGGGAAAGCGGGACGAGGCGCTCATCCTCCCCGTCAACGACAGCATCAGCGTCACGCTCGACCCCGACCACCTCTCCGCCACCACCACCGTCGCCGTCAGCCCCTCATTCCCCTCCGACCGCATGTGGCTCAACGGCAAGGTGTGTCATTGCCACCGCCCCTCCTCTGCTCGCCAATTTGTCTCTGCCGCCGCTTCGTCTGCTCAGTGGTCTGGTCATAAGAAAAAAAAAAAAAAACTATGTACCTTTAGTTTTTTATGTGTCACTCTGGACGCTGACTAAGTGGCAGATAAAGAATTCTAGTATATAAGACTTGGATTTGACGAAAGATAGTATAAACTTGAAAAGACGGCCCTCCGGCTTACGTTGGCTTTTGGTTTGGATAATTGAGCAGGAGATCTCGCTGTTAGGAGGAAGGTTTCAGAGCTGCCTCAGAGAGATCAGAAAGCGTGCTCGTGACTTCGAGGACGAGGAGAAGGGCATCAAGATCAAGAAAGAGGACTGGGGGAAGTTGCATGTCCACATAGCCTCGTACAACAACTTCCCCACGGCTGCTGGTTTGGCCTCTTCGGCTGCTGGACTTGCTTGTTTCGGTTAAGTCTCTTCTGCTATCATCATAATCTGATTGTCTCCCTCGGTTGTCAAATACAAAGAGTTGTCTTGACTTCTGGCTATTCCTACAATGAATGACCGTTTGTTGGTCAGTTGTATTAGCAAAAGCTACCATCTGGAAAACTATTTGCAGCAATTTTACTAGTGTTGCTGTCATGTGGCCAATCTGATTATTTTTTATCAATTTGGAGCCCAAGTTGGAAGTTGTTACTGCAGATGCATCAAAACAACTTATTAGGAACAGATGGAGTATTTTTTCTAGTTTCTTTTTTCATCTTGTTCTCCTGTGACCAACATTAAAACATGAAAAAAAAATATTTAGGAACAGGTAGAGATTATGAATGTAAGTTTTCTCCTCTCTATTTTCACTGAAAACATGGAAAAATAGTACTATTTGAATATTACTAAATTTTGGTCCCTGGTATCTTTCCCCGTTACTCTAAAAGCTACTCAGCACGCTTCTCTGGTAGAAAACAACAGTTCCTTGGAAATTCAGTAGTTCTATTCATGACCAATAATGTTTCACAATTTCGTAGTTCCCTATAAAGATTTCTACATGTCTTTTTCAGATCATGTATCACCACATAAACATTTGTTATTTAATGTTGCTGCAGTTTTCACCCTTGGAAAGCTGATGAACGTGAAAGAAGATTATGGAGAACTTTCTTCAATAGCAAGGTCTGTTCATGCTATTGATAAAAGCATTTTGTTTTTATTCTTGAGATACTGCCAGGACTGTACTCAGTTTGCCAATCTGTGCGCTAATAACTCGTGAGTCTTGCAAATCCATCCTTATATTTTCTCAACTTCATTCAGGCAGGGATCTGGGAGTGCATGCCGCAGTATATATGGTGGTTTTGTGAAATGGTGTATGGGAGAAGTGAGTAATCGTTATGACAAAGAAACAGCCCTGGTTAAATGCATGTCTGGTCTATTCAATAATGACTGAGTGGGGGCCTGTTTGTTTGCTTGCAGAAAGATGATGGAAGTGACAGTATTGCCATGCAGCTTGCTGATGAAACACATTGGAACGATCTTGTAATTATTATTGCAGTGGTATGTGAGCTATGTCCTGCATGACCTCCTGCCACTTGTTGTACGCGTCATCTTGTGGCTTCAGCGATTCTGATTCACATATGGACTCTCTTAATGTTTTATACAATTATACCTGTGCCTTTCCCCCATATTGTGCTCTTTCTGATATCATAAATTGTTGACACGTTCATTTGTGGAATCAGGTCAGTTCAAAGCAGAAGGAAACCAGTAGCACCAGTGGGATGCGTGATAGTGTTGAAACAAGTCCCCTCTTGCAGTACAGGGCCCAGGTGACTGTATTTTCATTTTGGAGGACATGAATTGTTTTGAGCTTTAACTATTTGGAGACTAAATTTCTGAAAAAGATCATGCTTTACTTTCGATTCTGGAATCTTGGTATCCTAAGTGTTTTGGCAATTTGATACGTTGCTTTGATTATTACTTCTTTTCCTGTGATTAACGTGCACTCCACTGGTTGTCCATATGTTTCAGACAGTAGTGCCAGGTCGTGTGTTGAAAATGCAAGAGGCTATCAAGAATCGGGACTTTGAATCCTTTGCCAAATTAACTTGTGCAGATAGCAACCAGTTTCATGCTGTATGCTTAGACACGAGCCCTCCCATCTTCTATATGAATGACACATCACACCGGTATATGCTTTTAGCAGTGTGTTGGCTTCAGTTTTATGTTAATGCTGATATCTGAGGCAATTTTTTTCTGGTCTCAATCAACTGCAGGATAATTAGCCTTGTGGAAAAATGGAACCACTCAGAAGGAACCCCACAGGTATTTATATTGCTCTTGAACATCTGTTATCTTATAAATTACTGTGACATATAATTAGTTGTGTTCATCAGTTGTGCTACCCTAGTTGGATATTGCTCAAATAGGACAAAACCGTCGAATAAGATCTGATACACCAAGCCATCAACTGCACTGGCCAAAACATGTGGCTTGCATCTCTTTATGAAATTATTAACTTCAGAGTGAACCTTGGTAATATCTTTAAGATGTTTGTATAAATAGCCACAAATTGCATTTCTTCTTTTAGTTTGTCACCTTTTATATTTTGGATGGTCATCTTCAAAATCATAAGGTGAACTGTTACTGTTGGTACAGCTTTTGTTGGATGTTATATCTATGAAGTTGTGATCTAAAATTGGAAGCACCTAAGCCAGTAAGCCGAAAAGCAGATTTTCCATCCTGGCCCTTTGATATTAATACTTACGCTTTGGATTAATTGTGGTTTCTGTTGTGCATTTTACCCATTCTGCAATACCACAGTAACTGTGATGTGATAGCGAGATCATTTATAAGCGTGGGCAGTAGAACTCTCTAACTCTGGTTGAGAATGCTCAATGCTAGGTTGCTTACACCTTCGATGCTGGGCCTAACGCAGTCCTAATTGCACAAAACCGTAAAACTGCAGCACATCTCCTCCAGAAGCTCTTATACTATTTCCCCCCACAGGATAAGGATTTGAGCAGGTGGGTTTAATGTTTTTTTTTTCACGATTAAATCTGTTGTCACTGACTGTATTTAGGAGCTCTATGGATGTATCTGATCAACATGATCTTGCAGCTATTTGGTTGGTGATAAATCGATTCTAGGTGATGCTGGAGTGCATTCCATGGAAGATGTGGAAGCTCTTCCAGCACCTCCAGAGATGAAGGTACCGGATCAGAAATTCAAGGGTGATGTTAGCTACTTCATCTGCAGCAGGCTTGGGGCTGGTCCAAAGGTTATTGCCGACGAAAGTCAAGCATTGATTGATTCAGTCACCGGACTTCCAAAAGGGGTGTAATTTCAGATTAGATTGAAATAAGGGTTTAAGCCAGGGATTAAAGAAAATGTTATCTACAAGCAATGCTAGATTGCTAGGCCGGGAAATGGACTAACAGATTTCCGAAGATACATTAGGCTTGTGTATTGGTTGGTTTCGTGCTTAGAGCTGGACATATCCTACACCAATTTGTAAGACAGTATATTTGTCATGTATTATACATTTGCGCTGTTGTTCTTGCTGTTCAATAAAGATATAATGGAACAAGTTCTCTCCTTTTGTTTTCCTCCCTCGTCTAGTGTGTAGCTGAAGTATTTGTTTAAGCAATTGAGCACGTTAGCTGAGACGCAAGCGGAGAATAACTTTTTTTAGAGGAAGCGGAGAATAACTTGTCTGTCTGTTTACCTTGTCTGGCTGCTTTTCGCAATGGATGAAAAACCCACGCCCCCGCCCGCCGAACGGCACCCATCGTACCACCAACCCAGAGAAGGGAGCCACGCACAAGAATCTGGGTTTTTTTTTGGCTCATCACATCTAGCTCCAAAGCCCCTCTAGAGATTTTTTTTGAGCTTGGCGGTGACACATTGAAGTTATTTTGATGAATATATTTGTAATTATTTTTGAATTAAAAATACGTATTTTAAACACTTTATTTATCATATAACTTCTAATTCTACATGATATTGGAGCTAGACCTATACTCCATCCATTCCTAAATAACTGTCATTTTTTTTTGTTTTCGTGCCATAAGTTTAACTATATCTATAGAAAATAAGTGCAAAATTTGTATCTCCAAATAAATTTATTATGAAAATAGATTTAACGATCTGTCTAATGATATTAATTTTGTACCATATATATATATATATATATATATATATATATATATATATATATATATATATATATATATATATAGTTAAAGTTGTTTCTTGAAAAGCGAAAACAATAGTTATTTAGGGACGGAGGGAGTATGCCCTTAGTGTATACTTGAGCTATGTTTCCTGTTGCAAATAGTAGTATATGTAATATTTTTTCTTCTGTTTGGTCATGGTCCAGTAAGTTCCACGCATTAGATGTCCGTTTGGGTATGGTCTGTGGGTTCCACGTATTAGATGGGTACACGATGGTGATTGGCTGTTATCATTCATTGACAAGCATGTTTTCGACTATTTTTTTGGGTTTAGATATGTACCATCTTATTTTGCCAAGCTCAAGCTTTTTTTTTATAGAGGTGCTTGCCAAAAAGAGAGAGAAATTTCTCTTCTAACCTACACTAGGACGTCAGGCGCGCTACGCTGCGCCCGCATAAGCATTTGCTTTTAGTTCTGCATACCTAAGCAAGCACGCGAAACGCTAGACGGCAATCATTTTAAGCAAGCAGGCTGAACCCGGGCAATGCATTGTCCATGATTAGCTTTTGCCTGGGTTCGTGGGTTGTCTATTATCGTGTTGACTTTTGCCATGAATATCATTGCAAGATAAACAGATTGCTCGTGCACCATGATCATGACAATTTTACCGAGCAATCGTGACAACTTTGAACGTTCGAAATAATGGGATGATATAAGAGAGACCATATAACAGATAGATATCATAATCTGGCATACCCTCGTACAGAGACAATGCTATCCCGAAATGAGTATCCTAAAGGAATTTGGATATAGTGAAACTTTTCTCTTAAAACTGGCAAGGCACCAATAAGGTGCAATACCCAAATTAGTCATACGATCCACACCTACAGATGAAACAATTGATTGGAAATAATAAGCTAACAATACAATACAGTATGGGTCTTGTGCTTGTTAGAAGACAGACATAACGTAATGCTGCTGGTCATACTCTAGTGCTGCTATCTAACTCTAATTTCTGCATTGCAAAATGAAAAACGTATAGAAATACATGCCAATAGCATTGGTTGCACATTCCTTGCAGCTGCAGGTGCTCTGTAAAAGATAAATTCTGATGTAATCATGATGGAGACCATTTTTTAGTTAAAAATAGATAGAGAATGGCACTGAAACCATGAATAGAGGAGCAAGGATATAGTAACCATTCAACAACCATAACTGAAGCCTTATGGTGTGTTTTTGCTGCTGTCAATGGACAACATACATCGGGCAAGAGGTCATAAGAAATAGGTAGAAATAAAAGCGGAACCATAGTTATTAAGGCGTCGCCTAGGCATCGCCTAGGCGTCTGGGCGCTTTTCCAATCGAGGCGTCGTGCCCGCCGCGACCTTCCTGCATATGGCGTCGCCTCACGCGGAAAGGCGTCGCCAAGGCGTCCGACCGACGCCGCAAGAGCGAAAAGGCGGCTGCAGGCACAAGGAGAAGTGCGCGGAGCGACACGCGTGAGGACAAAAAAACGAGAGGCAGCTGTGTGCGTAGGTGAAATCGCGCGGGAGGACGAAAGAAGGTGCGCGCGCAGGGGAAATTGGGCGCCTATACTTTCCCCAGGGGCGCGCCCCACCCTGTAGCTCGTCAATTGAGAGAGGGGAGGGAAACAGAGGAGATTGGGGAAGAGAAGATGGCTGCGGAAGCACCTGGAACGCGCCCCGTCCCATCCAGCCTCTCTCGCCCCTTTGGCTCTGCGGCCTCCCGATCTCCGCTCCGTCAGCTGGTGCCTTCGACATCCAACCTCGCGTCCTCGCCCGCGGATCCGCGCCTCCGACGGTGGGCTCCTAGGAATCGAGCGGACATGGAGCGCCCGCGGCTAGGCCCCGCTCGTGCCGGGGCAGGGCGCAGCAGCCTGGCCGCGTGCGTGCAGCGCGGCGGTGACCAGAGCAGGAGTCACGGTGGCTCCCGGCTACGCGGCTACGAGCGCGCGTGGAGCACAGCGGAGAGCGAGGTGGGAGGTTGTAACACCTCTGGTGTTACGAGCTTGCTTAGCACCTAGGTTAATGCGTAAGAGAAATTAGCAAAACAAGTTTCGGGTTTAAAAGTTTAAAGCACACGTGGAATTATAAACGAATCTTGTGTGACTTGCTTTCGTGAATAAAACAAACAAATTAGTGTCACTAGTCAACTTGTCTCGGTGCTTAACAACTTTTAAATAATCTTGTGGACAAAAGTTGTTTAGGTCTTGTTTTGGAAAAGTATGAAGAAAGTGCTTAAAAATGCCTAATAGCAAATAAAACAATTTTTATAAACAAAAATAAAATATAACTTGTAATTGGTACTTAAATAAAATTTGAAATGCAAGTTTAGTAGATGAGAATGCAATTGTTGATTTGGTGAATAGATGTTGTTCTAGGATATTTTTGATAGCTCAAAAATCAAATTGAAAAATTAAAATTAGCCCTTTTCGTTGAATTGACAAAAATTTGAAGTTGTGTTGAAAGTGTGTGCTATGTCGTGAAATGGTTAAATAACACCCTGATGTTTTGGTTATATTGTTTGGTACAAAGTGTGTGCTATGTCGTGAAATGGTTGTTGGTGAAGTTTAGACCGTTTAAAAATTCAACCAAATTCAACTCAAGGTTATTTTTCAAGTTTAAAAATAGTGTAACAATGCTAAATTGGAATTTAAATTCTGATTAAAATTCTTAAACACTAGCATCATGTTTTGGCACTATTAATTGCACCTTTGTGGGTACCATAGCATGGTATAGTTCGTGGGGTGGTTTGACGTTGAACTGTGTCGTTGGCGCTCTGCTCGTGAACCGGTACATGTAGCGAGCGATCTTAGCAGCTCACCTCAACTACCTCGCTCGCGTCCTTGCTGTTGTCCTAGTCTTTGCCCTCCCGCTCGCTCTCTCCCTCGTCTGCCCTGCTTGGTGCCGCTGCTGCACTGGACGAGCGCAGTAGGCGCCATGTGCGCATGCTCCCTCGCGTCCTTGTTTGGGAGCGCCTTAAAGGAAGATGGCCGAGCCGCTGCTGTCCTTGCCTCACTGCTGCTCTCGCCTTGCTCTCTCTCTCTCTCTTGCTCTCGGCTACCATGGCTGCACCCCTGGCCGAGCTGCCAGCTGTAGCCGCGGCGCTCATGGCCGACCTACCGTGGGCCATCCCTGGCCTGGACGCTGAGCCCCTACGACGCTCCCCTCCCTCCCTCGCGCTGCTCCGGCTCAGCCCCGCTCTCTCTCCCCTTTCGTTCTCACGCGCGCAGCCACCGATTGCGTGCAGCCGTCGCTGCGCCGCGCCTCCCGTCCGGCCAGCCGGTTCCCGTGCTCGTAGGTGCTGCGTAATAGGAACGGGGATCCCAATCTTTTGTCAGATGGTGGTAACTATCATTATGGCGGAGAATGACACACCGATCCAGCTTCAGATCGAAAGATCGAACCCTGCAATCTTAGCACCACAACTCCTCTGGTTACCAACCGAGTCACGGATCCGGTTGACCTCGCCAAGAAGGCTAATCCCTGCCCGCGCAACGAAGAACACAAGTAAGAACAAGAAAGAAAACAACCAAATTGCAGATGAATGATTAATCTCACGAAGTTGGGATCTCACAAACCGATGAACGGTGAAACTGTTCTTGACAGATTAATCTAAGCAAAACCCAAAACCTAATGACGGCGGTGGCATATGATTATAAAGGTCTTAGGGTCATCGCCTACCCTGGACGCGCCCCCTAATGGGCCCAAACATGATACACGGTCCAACAGACCAAAAGATGGTGTCACAGCACCCTGGCAGATTCTGGATGCTGACTTGTTTCGACGATTTCTGTTGATTCTGAAGGCCTTTTGATGTGACACCACTTGGATTGGCTTCCTTATCAAATTAGCTTTCCATCCATATGTGGATCGTCGAAAACAGAGTCCGGATGCGTTTTGGGTGACCAGTTTAAGGCAAACTGGTCCTAGAGGCCTAAGCAGACTCGAAATCAGGTTGGACCGGGCCTCCGATTTCTGTTGAACGTCCTTGCTGGTCATAAACGCCTCCACCTCTTACTCTAAGTCCCTCATGACCCTCTCTAATGTTCCTAAGCAAGATAACATCATTAGGTAGTAGTCTATTCTCAAAAGTATGAAAAGGATCGCTTAAGAACGATCTCACCTCTAAATTGAGTTGACGTAT